ACCTGCCGGTCTGCATGGCCAAGACCCAGTACAGCTTCTCCACCGATCCCGCGCTCAAGGGCGCGCCCACCGGCCACGCGGTCACCATCCGCGAATTGCGGCTGTCGGCCGGCGCGGAATTCGTGGTGGCGATCTGCGGCGACATCATGACCATGCCCGGCCTGCCGAGCCGCCCGGCGGCGGAGAACATCCGGCTGACCGCCGAGGGCCGCGTCGACGGCCTGTTCTGAGCCCGGCCTTGCCGCGCGCGGGGCGCGTCAGCGCAGGCGGTCGCGCGCCCGGTCGAGCCGGCGCAGGCGGTCCTGGGTGAAGGGGTCGTGCGGATCGCGCCCGCGCTCCAGGCGCTGGCGCTCGTTGCCGACCTTGCCGCGGTCGAGCAGCCGCTCGCCGCTGTCGCGCGGTGGTTGCGCGGGAATCGGCAGCGGGCGCAGGTCGCGCGCCTGCGGCAGGCCGGACTCGCGCGGCGGCGCGCTGGGCGGGGCCGCCCGCTCCGTTTCCTGGGCGGCGGCCGGCGCCGGCAGGTTGCCCGGCAGCCAGAAGAGGAAGGCGGCCGCCAAGGCAAAACCAGTGGTGAAAGCTGAAGACATACCTGCGAAGTGATCGCGCGGGCGGAAAATTACAATCGTGATCCGTTCACGACTTGTAAACGGCTCGGGCCTAAGTGTATCACTCATCCTATCGGACACAGCCAGATCTAAGGGAGTAGGGTCGGGTCATGCAGCTTCCCCGCCTGGTGAAGTCTTTTCTCGCGGCCTCCTCGACGGCGGCGATCCTCGTGGCCCCGGCGGCGGCCGCGGAGCTCAAGCCCATCTACCTCGACGCGGTGATCGCCGAAGGCGCGGCGCCGCTGTCCGACGTGTCCTTCACGGTCGAGCGGGTCCAGGGCGGCGTGGTGCAGGAGCTGCGCGGCAGCGCGGCCGAGCTGGAGCTGCCCGAGGGGCGCTACCGGGTGCGCGCCGCCTTCGGCGAGACCGAGGTGGCCAAGGATATCGTCGTCGACGGGGTGACCAAGCGGCACCGCATCAATCTCAACGCCGGCGAGGTCCAGCTCAACATGATCCGCGGCATCGGCCAGGCGCCGATCAAGGATCCCATCGAGTGGAACGTCATGACCTTCGGGCGCGACTCCACCGGCAATCGCCAGCTGGTGCACCGGGTCACCGCCTCCACCGCGCAGCTCACCCTGCCGGGCGGCTGGTATTACGTCGAGGCGACCCACAACGGCCGCACGGTCAAGCACACCATCGAGGTGACGGCCGGCGCCGCCTTCAAGTACTTCGTCATGAAGCAGTAGGCTGCCGCCGCAGCACGCGACGGAAGAAGGGCCGCAGCCCCGGGCTGCGGCCCTTCTTCGATTCTGGCCGCTTCGCTTCGGCGCACGGGGCTCACACCCAGGGGCAGTGGCTGTTGGAGGAGCCGAAGCTGCGCCCCTCGGCGAAGCGGGTGAAGGCGAAGGGCTCCAGCTCGGCGACGCGGTTCTCGCCGGCCAGCAGCCGGGCGACCAGCTTGCCGACGCCGATCATCTTGAAGCCGTGGTTGGAGTCGGCGATCAGGTAGCCGTTGTCCAGCACCCAGTCGAAGATCGGCACGTTGTCCGGCGTGAAGGCGCCGATGCCGCCGTTGCGGCGGTCCTTGAACTTGCCGCGATGGCCCTTGAAGCGCGGCATCAGGTAGCCCATGGCCGAGACGAAGTAGTCGGCGAACCAGGGATCGGCCTGGTAGGCGTCGTTGGCGTGGCCGTAGGGGTCGAGCGTGGCGCTGCGGCCGACCTTGATCGGGATGGTGCCGCCCTGCACGCCGAGGCTCTCCATCCGCTCCGCGGCGTTCTTCCAGTAGACGTAGAGGTGGTCGCTCATCTCCTCGCCGGTGGTCTCGTTGATGACCGGCGTGTTCATCAGCTCGACGTGCAGCACCGGCGGGTCGCGGTCGTCGGCGGTGCGGTAGGGGGCGTCGATGTACACCTCGCCCTCGAGCAGGCGCCAGTAGGTCCACATGTCCTTGGCGCTGCGCCCGCCGTCGGGGTAGCGGCAGTCGAGCGTCGCCGGCAGGCCCAGCAGCTCCCAGTGCTTGCCGATCCAGGCGCCCAGCGCCAGCACCACCACCTCGGCCGAGATGTCGCCCCGGTTGGTGTGCAGCTTGCGGATCGTCCGCCCGGCCGTCTCGTAGCCGGTGACCTCGACGCCGGCGACGATCTCGACGCCGTGCTGGGCGCACTTCTCGGCCAGGCCGGCGACGGCCTGGCGGGTGCCGGCATAGCCCGAGGGATGCTCGTGGTGCGCCACCTCGATGCGCTCGGTGTTGAAGTCGGGCCAGATCGAGGCGAGGAAGTCCTTGGCCGCGCGTCCGACGTAGAGGTCCGAGCGGTAGCCGTTGGCGTTATGGCTGGCGACCATGGCCTCGTAGTCGGCCTGCTGGTTGGCCTCGCCGGCGGAGATGTAGCCGACCTGCTGGAAGCCGAAGCGGATCGGGTCGGACTGCCAGACGTCGACCGAGTGGCGCAGGATCGGGTGCAGCTCCTTGGTCATGTAGAGGTTGCGCACGCAGCCGCAGGCGATGCCGGTGGCACCGGCGCCCGGACCGGTCTTGTCGAGCACCACCACGTCCCGGCCGCTGCCCTGGCCGCGCCGCTCCAGCTCCTGCGCCAGGTGCCAGGCGGTCGACAGGCCGTGGATGCCGGCGCCGACGATGACGAAACGCTTGCTGTCTGGCAGGTCGGACATGGCGCACTCTCGCTGTGGTGGCGGGGCGTGGAGGTTCGGCAGCTTTCCCTATAGCGTGGCGGGGCCGCCCTCCGCGACGCCCCAGGCGTCGGGTTTCGCCGTGAAAGCGACCTCGGCGCGGGCGCGCGCCGGCCGGGCGATGCCGCCCAGCGGGTGGACCGCCGGCTCCTTGGCGCGCAGCGCCCAGCGCCGCGCCATCCCGCCGTAACCACGCAGGTGGTAGCCCCGGTTGGCGCGCAGGATGGCCGCGCGCTCGGCCCGCCAGACCGCCGGCAGGCGGTACCAGGGCAGGCGCGGGCGGGCGTGGTGGACGGCGTGCAGGTTGTTGTTGAGGAACAGCAGCGCCAGCAGCGGCCCGGTCTCGACGATCGCCGTGCGCGCGCCGACCTCGGGGTGGGCGCGGTGCTCCAGGAAGGAGCGCAGGTGGGCCAGGGCGATCCCCGGGTAGACGTAGAGCAGCAGGAAGGCGCTCAGCGGCATGCCCGCGACGCCGACCACCCAGCCGAGCACCAGAGCGACCGAGAGGCCGTGTAGCGCCCAGATCCGCAGCCGCCGGGGCTCGCCGCGCAGCAGCCGCGCGGCCTCGCGCCGGTAGAAGCCGGCGACGCCGACCAGCGGCCCCAGCAGCAGCCGGCCGAGCAGGGTGTTGCGCGCCCGCAGCAGGCCCCGCTCCGGACCGCTCAGCGCCGCCCAGCGCGACGGGGCGACGTAGTAGCTCTCGGGGTCTTCCACCGGGTCGGTCAGCCAGCGGTCGCGGTGATGGCGCAGGTGGGTGTCGCGGTAGATCTCGTAGGGCAGCCAGAGCCAGAGGTTGGGCAGCACCAGCAGGCGGTTGAGCCAGCCCAGCCGGGTCGGATGGCCGTGCACCACTTCGTGCTGCAGCGAGGCGTGCCAGGCGACCAGGTAGGCGCCGAGCGCCAGTTCCAGCCACCAGGGCAGCGCGGCGTGAAACCAGGTCACCAGGGCGAAGCCGCCGTAGATGGCGCCGGCGACCGCCAGGGTGGGCCACTCCGGCCGCAGGCCCCGGCGGCTGGACGCCCGCGCGGAGCGCATGGTTAGCTTCGGCGTCGCGCCGGCGCGCGAGTCGCGAGAGACTGAGGGCATGGGCGAACCTGTGAAAACGATAGGGGGACTGGTCGCAAAAATGCGAACGTAAAGAACGATCATGGGTAAAAGTCTGCTGTGGTGATAAAGCGCAACAGACGGTGATTTTATAGAACGAATTGTTTGTCGGCGCAAGGTCCCGCGGCGGGGCCTCTGCGCCCTGGGGGCTGGGCAACGGCATGACCACGGCACGAGACGACCTGATTCCGCCCTTCCGCGAGCGGCTGGCGGAGGTGATCGAGCGCTCCGGCACGTCGCGCGCCGCCTTCGCGGCGGCGATCGGCCTCGATCGCTCGACCCTGTCGCAGCTACTCTCGCCGGAGAACGAGCGGCTGCCGCGGGCCGAGACGGTGGTGGCGATCGCGCGTGAGGCCGGCGTGTCGACCGACTGGCTGCTGGGCATGAGCCAGTCGCGCGAGGCGGGCACGCAGCTCGTCGCCAGCGAGCTGGAGATCGAGAGCGGGGCCGGCGATCCGATGGACGAGCGGCTGGCGCGCTGGCATCGCGAGGTGGTCGGCTCGAAGATTCGCTATGTGCCGGCGACCCTGCCGGACCTGCTGAAGACCGAGGCGACCATCGACTTCGAGTACCGCCAGCACGGCGAGCGCATGCTGACCGCGCAGCGCGAGCGCGCGGAGGCGCGGCTGGAGTACAGCCGCCGGCCGGAGACCGACATGGAGGTCTGCTCCAGCTACCAGACGCTGGAGGCCTTCGCCCGGGGCGAGTTCATCTGGCGCGACATGCCGCTGGCCGCGCGGCGCGCCCAGCTCGAGCAGATGGCGGGAATCCTCGACGAGCTCTATCCGACCTTTCGCTGGTTCCTCTACGACGGGCTGCAGCGCTTCTCCGTGCCGGTGACGGTCTACGGGCTGAAGCGCGCGGTGCTCTATGTCGGCGGTATGTACATCGTGCTGCACGCGACCGAGCACATCCGCGTCATGACCCGCCACTTCGACGCGCTGGTGCGTGCCGCCACGGTGCAGCCGCCCGACGTGATCGCCCGCATCGAGGCGCTGCTGCGGGACAGCGCATGACCATCGCCTCGCTGCCGATGTACGACCTGCCGGAGCTGCGCTGGGCGACGGACCGCCTGTGGCAGGGCCTGGCCGGGCATCTGCGCGCCGCCGGCCTGGGCCCGCTGCCCGAGCGGCTCACCCGCAGCGCCGACCCGGCCGACGACTGGCGCGCCCCGGACCTGCTGTTCAGCCAGACCTGCGGCTACCCGCTGACCCACGCCTTCCGCCAGCGCCTGCTGGTGGTCGGCGTGCCGGTCTACGATGCCGAGGGCTGCGATCCGGAGAGCCGCTACGGCCCGACCTACTGCAGCGCCCTTGTGGTGCGCCGGGACTCGCCGGTGGCGCGGCTCGCCGATCTGGCCGGGCAGGGCGCGGCGATCAACGCCTGGGATTCCCAGTCCGGCATGTCGGCCCTGCGCGCCGCTGTCGCGCCCTATGCCGAGGCCGGGCGCTTTTTCGGCCGGGTGGCGGTCACCGGCAGCCACGCCGCCTCCGCCGCCGCGGTCGCCGAGGGGCGGGCAGAGGTCGCGGCGATCGACTGCGTCACCTGGGCGCTGCTGGGCGACCAGCGCCCGGCGCTCGTGGCGCCGCTGCGCCGGCTGGCCTGGTCGACGCCGGCCCCGGCGCTGCCCTACGTGACGGCGCCGAGCCGGGCGGCGGAGGCCCAGGCGATCACCATCGCGCTGATGGAGGCGGCGCACGATCCGGCCCTGGCCGAGGCCTGCGCGGCGCTGCGTCTGGCCGGCGTCGCGCCGCCGGAGGCCGCCGACTACACCCGCATCCTGGAGATCGAGGCCGCGGCCGGGGCCCAGGGCTACCCTGTCTTGCGGTAGCCGCGCCGGCCGGCTCTAATGCGCCGGGCGCTGCAATGCGCCGGGCGCTGCAATGCGCCGGGCGCTGCGCGGCGCGCCCGGCGGCCAAGAGCGACAAGACGCCCGACAAGAAGACGCTCTCGAAAAACAAGACGCCCCCGAAAAGGAAGGCGCCCCGAACAACAAGACGCCCCTGGAAACGAGAAGGTAGACATGACCGAGCTGTGCGACCGTTCCGCCGTCGAGCTGCGCGCCCTGATGGCCCGCCGCGAAATCTCGCCCGTCGAGCTGCTGGACTCCTGCCTGGCGCGGATCGCGGCGGTGAACCCGCGCCTGAACGCCGTGGTCGCGCTCGACGAGCCCGGGGCGCGTGCGGCCGCGGAGACGGCCGAGGGGCTGTTCCGGGTCGGCGACGGGCTGCAGCCGCTGACCGGCCTGCCGGTCGGGATCAAGGACCTGAACGAGACCAAGGGGCTGCGCACCACTTACGGCTCGCCGCTGTTCGCCGACTTCGTGCCCCAGGAGGACGCCGGCGTGGTCCGGCGCCTGCGCGCGGCCGGCGGCATCGTCGCGGCCAAGACCAACACCCCGGAATTCGGCGCCGGCGCCAACACCGACAACGCGGTCTACGGCTTCACCGGCAACCCCTTCGACCCGATGAAGACCTGCGCCGGCTCTTCCGGCGGCTCGGCGGTGGCCCTGGCGACCTCGATGTTGCCGCTGGCCAACGGCTCGGACCTGGGCGGCAGCCTGCGCACCCCGGCCGCCTTCTGCGGCGTCGTGGGGCTGCGGCCGACGCCGGGCCTGGTGCCCAAGACGGCGCCGGCCGTGCCGACCTCGCCGCTGTCGGTCGAGGGGCCGATGGGGCGCAGCGTCGCCGACCTGGCCCTACTGCTCGCCGGCATCGCGGGCACGGACTCCGACGACTTCTACAGCCGGCCGGTGGAGGCCGGGCGCCTGACCGAGCTGGCGCCGGCCGACCTCGGCGCGCTGAAGGTCGCGGTCAGCGAGGACCTCGGCTTCGCGCCGGTCGACGAGGAGATCCGCGGCCTCTTCCGCCAACGGGTCGGGGCCTTTCGCCACCTCTTCGCCGAGGTGCAGGCGCGCGACCCCGCGATGGCCGAGGCGAACCGCGTCTTCGAGGTGCTGCGCAGCGTCGGCTTCCTCGCCTCGCACCTGGAGAAGGTGGAGCGGCACCCCGACAAGGTCGGCGCCAACGTCACCGCCAACGTCAAGCTGGGCCTGACCTTCGACGCCCGCGACGTGGCCTGGGCCAGCCGGCGCCACGGCGAGATCGCGCGCGACTTCACCCGCCTGATGGAGGAGGTCGACCTGCTGATCGCGCCGGGCGCCTCGGCCAAGCCCTTCGCCAAGGGGCAGAGCTATCCGGCGACGATCAACGGTAAGCCGCTCGACACCTACATCCACTGGGTCGCCATCTCCTACGGCCTGACGCTGACCGGCCATCCGGTGCTCTGCCTGCCCTGCGGGGTCGATGCCGACGGGCTGCCCTTCGGCCTGCAGATCGTCGGACGGCGCTGGGACGAGCGGCGCCTGCTGGCGATCGGCGCCGCCCTGGAGGCGGCGCTGGCCGAGATCCCCGGCTGCGCCCGGCCCCGGCCGGACCTGGCGGCCCTGGGCGCCTGAGGGCGCGCAGCCGGTCCCGCCAGCGCGGGGCCGGCGACAGCGGGAGGGACGAGATGGCCTACCTGATCCTGGCCTACGATCACCCGGGCATGGAGGCGGCGCGCGAAGCGGTGCGGGCGGCCCACCGCGCGCATCTGGCCTCGGCGGGCCCGCGGCTGCTGGCCTCCGGCGCGCTGCTGGGGGACGACGGCGAGACGGTGATCGGCGGCGCCAGCCTGCTCGCCGCCGACAGCTACGAGGAGGCGGTGCGCTTCGAGGCACAGGACCCCTACGCCCTGGCCGGCCTGCGCAAGTCGGTGACGGTGATGCCCTGGCGTCTGCGCTGGTGGTGCGGCGAGTTCGCCGCCGACGGTCGCGACGCGTTCGCAAAGGGGGAAGAGTCCGGTGCCCCCGGCAGGACTTGAACCCGCAACCTACCGCTTACAAGGCGGTTGCTCTACCAGTTGAGCTACAGGGGCGGCCCGGACGCTGCGAGGCTGACGGCGCAGCCCGCCAGCGTGTGAGCCCGCAAGGTAGGCGGGCGCCCCGCGCCGCGCAAGCGCTTCGGCCGGCCCGGCGCAGGGGGGCGGGGCTGGTCCGGTCGGCGTAAGCCGGCCCGCCGTTGCCGACACCCGCCGCGGCTGTCGGCGGGCCCGGCGCGCGGGGTGTCTGCGTCCCGCGCATGCCAGCCGGTCGCGGGATCGGCGGAGGGGCGACTTGCCAGACGACAAGACGGGGATCAGTCTGCGCCGCTTTTTCGGATCAGGTGACGGCATGCCATGGTCGACCATCGGGGATTGAGCCATGGGCGAAGCACCCGTCTTCGCTCTCTTGCGCTGCTGCGGATTGCCCTGCTGCGACTGCGTCCAGCCCAACTGCTTCTGCTCGGTTACCTCACCTACATCGCCCTGGGCTGGCTGCTCTTGAGCCTGCCTGTGAGCCAGGCGGTGCCGGTGACGGCTCTGGACAGCCTGTTCATCGCCGCGTCGGCGGTCTCGACCACCGGCCTGGTCAGCCTCGACCCCGGCAGCAGCTTCACGCTGGCCGGCGAGGTCGTCATTCTCCTCCTGATCCAGATCGGGGGGCTGGGATACATGACGATCAGCTCCTTCGCCGTGCTGGCGCTGCAGCATCGCTTGACGGGGCTACGAACCAAGGCGACCCGCGCCGCGTTCAGCCTGCCCGAGGAGATTTCGCCGGCCGCTTTCGTGCGCGCGGTCGTACTCTTCACTCTGGTCTGCGAGAGCCTCGGGGCCGTGCTGCTCTGGCGGATCTTTGCGGCCGCCGGAGTGGAGGACCCCGTCTGGGCGGCTGTCTTCCACGCTGTCTCGGCCTTCTGCACGGCCGGATTCAGCCTCTTCTCCGACAGCCTGGAAGGCTTTCGCGCCGATGCCTGGCTTACCATCGTTATCGGTGCGCTCAGCCTGCTCGGCGCCATGGGATTTCTGATCTTCGTGGACGCCTGGCGTACCTTGACCGGCAAGGCACGGCACCTGGGCTTCTCCAGCAAGGTGATCGTGCGCATGACGCTCTTGCTTCTGGCGGGCGGCACCCTGGCGCTGTTCCTGGCGGACCCCGGCATCGCCGCGCTTCCCGCAAGCGAGCGGCTGACCGCGGCCTTCTTTCAGGCCATGAGCGCGACCACGACGGTTGGCTTCAACACGCACCCCGTCTCGGCGCTCGCGCCGGCCGTGCTGGTCGTCCTGCTGGTCCTGATGGCGGTCGGCGCGTCGCCGGCCGGGACCGGGGGCGGGCTGAAGACCACCACCTTCGCGGCGTTGATGGGACTGGTCCGCTCGACTTTGAAGGGCCGCGAGTCGGTGCGCTTCTTCCGCCGCGAGGTGACGCCCGAGCGGCTTCAAGTGGCGACCTCCAGCTTCGTGTTCTACATGCTGCTGCTGGCCGGAGCGCTGTTCCTTTTGCTGTTGACCGAGACCGGTGCGGCCTTCGATGTCGTGCTGTTCGAGGTCGTCTCGGCGATGGGCACGGTGGGGCTGAGCACGGGACTCACGGGCCAGCTCAGCGAGCTTGGCAAACTCGTCGTGATCGTGCTGATGATCGCCGGACGGGTCGGCATCCTGACCTTCGGCGTTGCGATCGCGACACGGGACGAGACTCGCGAGGAGCGTGCGGACAACCGGCTGGTGTTGTAGTCGCGGCCCTGGTGTCCGGTCTTGCTCCCCGCCCGGAAATGCGCCATAGCTCGCCCCTGCGAGTCCGCAACGACCAGAAAGGCACGAGCCGCTCCGTGTCCATCCTGACCGCCCTGAAGACCGCCGAAGCGCACAGCGAGCCCTTCGAGCACTACATCCTGAAGGACTGCCTGCCCGAGGGCGCCTGCGAGGCCATCGCGGCGACCGACGTCGGCCACACCGGGGTGTTCGACGGCACCCGCGCCGGCAACAACCAGGCGCGGCTGTTCATCGGCCGCGACAACCTGAAGGACTATCCCTTCCTGCGCTCGACCGTGGAGGAGCTGCGCAGCCCCGAGGCCGTCGCGCTGCTGCGCGAGCGCTACGGCGTCGATGTCGCCGGGCACTATCTGCGGGTGGAGATCTGCTGCGACCTCGACGGCTTCTGGCTGGAGCCGCACTGCGACATCGTCGAGAAGATGGTCACCATCCAGGTCTATGTGGACCCGCAGGGGCGCCAGCCCGGTCTGGGCACCGACTTCTACACGCCCGAGCTGGAGCGGGTGAAGAGCGTGCCCTTCGTCAACAATCAGGCCTATTGCTTCTTCCCCAAGCCCGGCAAGGACTCCTGGCACGGCTTCGAGAAGCGGCCGATCGAGGGCCGCCGCATGACGGTGCTGATCAACTACGTCACCTTCCCGACCGACTGGACCGTCCCGGCCGAGGACTGATCGGCCGGACGCCCGCCGCCGCGCCGGGTCCGCCCGCGCGGGCAGGCAGGTCGGCGTTCCCGGCGACTCAGGGCTGCGTCGCCGTCACGGCACAAGGGTGGACAAGCGCGCGCCGTTGGGACACCTCTGCGGCCATGCGTTCCCTGTTGCTGTCCGTATCCGTGTTGGTCGTGAGCTTCGGCGTGCTGCTGGCGGGCAACTCGCTGCAGTTCGTCGCGCTCGGTCTGCGCTCAAGCCTGGAGGGCTTCTCCGTCGGGGCGGTCGGCGCCATGACGGCCGCCTACTTCGCCGGCTTCTGCCTCGGCTCGCTCTACATCCCGGGCCTGGTCAAGCGGGTCGGGCATGTGCGCAGCTTCGCCGCGCTGGCCTCGACCATCTCCGGCGTGGCGTTGGCCCATCCGCTCTGGCCCGATCCGCTGCCCTGGGCGGCCATGCGCCTGGTCTCGGGTTTCTGCTTCGCCGGGCTCTACATGGTGGTGGAGAGCTGGCTGAACGCGCGGGCGAGCAATGCCGACCGCGGGCGCGTGCTGTCCTTCTACGCCATGGTCGCCTTCGGCGGTTACGCCGGCGGGCCGCTGCTCGTCAACCTGGGCGCCGAGAGCGGCTTCCTGCTCTTCGTGCTGATCTCGATCCTGGTCTCCTTCGCGCTGGTCCCGGTGACCCTCAGCGGCGCCAGCGCGCCCACCCCCAGCGGCGAGATCGCGCCCGACGACCGCTTCAGCCTGCGCGACCTTTACCGGGCGACGCCGCTGGGCCTGGCCGGCATGCTCTTCGTCGGCGCCGCCCAGGGCTCCTTCATGGGGCTGGCCGCCACCGCCAACACCGCGCTGGGGCTCGACGGCAACCGCGCCGCCTGGATGATGTCGGCGACGCTGCTGTGCGGGCCCCTGCTGCAGTACCCCCTCGGCCTGCTGTCGGACCGCATGGACCGGCGCCTGGTGATCTCGGGCGTCTCGCTGGTCGGCGGTCTGGGTCTGCTGCTGCTGGTCTTTCTGCTGCCGGACGGCGAGCCGGGCCTGGTCGGCCTGCTGCTGCTGGCGCTGGTGACCGGCGCGGCGATCTTCCCGCTCTACGCCATTGTCATCGCCCATACCAACGACTGGATCCCCGAGAGCGCGATGGTGCGCGCGGCGGCGACGCTGGTGCTGGCCTACAGCCTGGGCTCGGTGCTCGGTTCGCCGCTCGCCTCGGCGATGATGGACGGCTTCGGCCCGCGCGGCCTTTTCCTCTTCCTGGCGGCGACCATGCTGCTGCTCGGCGCCTTCACCGTCTTCCGCAGCCTGCGCCGCGCCGCGCCGGAGGACCGCGGCGCCTTCGCCGAGACGGTGGCGACGCCGGGCCTGCGTCCGCTGGAAAGCCAGCAGGACGAGCAGCTCGACCTGGAGCTGGCGGGCAGCGCCGAAGCGCGGGAAACCGAAAGCCGCGCGGCCGAGGCCCGCCCGCAGCGCACGGGCTCGGCCTGACGGCGCCTTTCGCCGGCGGCGGGGGGCTCAGGCGGTGGGAGCGTTCAGGCGGCGGCGCGGCGCTGCCGGTGCGCCAGAACGGCGGCGTTGAAGGCGGCGTAGAGCGTGCGCGAGACGGGAGACTCCGCCGCCTTGTACTCGGGGTGCCACTGCACGGCCAGGGCGAAGCTCTCGGCGCCCTCGATGCGCACCGCCTCGATGACCCCGTCGGGCGCCGTGGCCTCGACGGCCAGGCCGGGGGCGAGGCGGTCGATGCCCTGGTGGTGCAGGGAGTTCACCACGATCTCGTTGCAGCCCAGAAGGCCGGCGAGCCGGCCCTCCGGCACCAGCCGGACACGGTGCTTGGGGCCGTAGACCACGTCGGGGTCGTCGTGGACCGGCCGGCGATGGTCGAGCTTGCCGGGCAGCTCGTGCAGGCGCGGATGCAGGGTGCCGCCGAAGACCACGTTGAGCTCTTGAAAGCCGCGGCAGATGGCGAAGATCGGCAGCCCTTGCGCCAGCGCCTCGCGCAGCAGCGGCAGGGTGGTGGCGTCGCGCGCCTCGTCATAGGGCTCGTGGTGCGCGTGCGCCGCCCGCCCGAAGTGGCTGGGATGCACGTTCGAGGGGCTGCCGGTCAGCACCAGGCCGTCCATGTGCCGGATCAGCTCGGGGATGTCGAGGTGGTGGCCCAGGGCCGGCACCACGAAGGGCGTGCCGTCGGTGCAGTCGGAGACGGCGCGCAGGTACTTGTCGCCGACCGCGTGGAAGGGCTGGCCCTCGATCTCCTTGAAATCGGCGCTGACGCCGATCAGCGGCGTGGTCATGGCTCGGTCTCCTCGGCCGCTGCGTCCCGGCGGCCGTCCTCGAGGCCTTTGCGATTGTATGGAGCCGCGCCGCGGTTCCGCCGGTCGCGAGACATCGCACTCGCTTGAATGTGTTCGGGCAGAGTCAGCCGACCTGAAGGGATCGCGTCGCGAGTCCTTCGGTCGGCACCTGCTCTAGCCGGCCTGCTCGACCTCCAGTTTGAAGGAGAGGTACCGCTGCAGCTCGCTGAAGGCGACCACCCCGTGCAGGCGGTCGTGCTCGGCGACCATCACGTGGTCGCGGCCGGACTTGCGCATGACGGTCAGCGCCTGGGCCACGTCGGCGGACGGAGGCACCACCGTGTCCTTCGACAGCGGCGTCATCACGTCGACGACACGCTGGCTGCGCCAGCGGTTGCGCGGGACGCGGCGGAGCTGGCGGGCGGCGATGCTGCCGACCAGCCGCTCGCCCTCGACCACGGGGTAGAAGTCGGCGTGGGTGTCGTAGACGTAGTCGTGCACGAAGTCGTCGAGGCTGATCTGCGAGGGGACGCTGACCGCCGGCTCGTGCAGGAAGCGGGTCACCGGCACCTCGTCCAGCAGGCGGTGTGTGATCACCTCGGTGTAGCTGCCCTGGGCGGCGGCGCGCACGAACAGGCCGATCAGGAACATCCACACGCCGCCGACGATGTCGCCGTAGACCGCGCGCAGGATGCCCAGAGCGATCAGGAAGTAGGCGAAGAGCGTGCCGGTGGTGGCGGCGATCTTGGTCGCCCAGAGCAGGTCGCCGCGCCAGCCCCAGAGCGCCGCGCGCAACGCCCGGCCGCCGTCGAGCGGAAAGGCCGGGATCATGTTGAAACCGCCGAGCAGCAGGTTGATGATGAAGAGGTAGTGCAGCACGCCGGTCAGGCCGGCCGGCAGCCCGCCGGCGTCGGCGCCGATCCAGCCGAGGTAGCAGAGCAGGGCGAGGGCCAGGCTCATCGCCGGCCCGGCGATCGCCATCAGGAACTCGCTCTTGGCCGTCTGCGGCTCGCGTTCGAGTTGCGCCACGCCGCCGAAGATGAACAGCGTGATGTACTTGATCGGCAGGCCGTAGGCGCGCGCGACCAGGGCGTGCGCCGACTCGTGCAGCACCAGCGAGGCCGCCAGGCCGATCATGCCGACGATCGCCATGGAGAGGTAGACGCCCTGGCCGAGCCCCGGATAGAGCGCGGGGAAGAAGCCGACCGCCAGCGACCAGGTCACCAGCAGCGCCAGGAACAGCCAGGTCACGTCGATCTGGACGCGGAATCCGAAAAGGTCGAAGAGATTGAATGTCCGGCCGAACACCGTGGGGGCAGCCTCCTTCGGGCAGCACGTTTTGAGGGGCGCGCGCTATCCGGCCGCTTGGGGGGCCGGCGCGCCGCCGTTGAACTGGTCGTAGGCGGCCAGCGCCTCGACACCGTAGACCGTCGAAGGGCCGCCGCCCATGGCCATGGCGACGCCGATCGTCTCGACCACCTCGGCGCGCGTCGCGCCGGCCGCCTGCACGGCCTTGGCGTGATGCGCGATGCAGCCGTCGCAGCGTACCGAAATCGCGATGGCCAAGGCGATCAATTCCTTCGTCTTTCGATCCAGCGTCCCGTCGGACAGGCTGGCCGACATCAGCGTGCGGAAGCCGGACATGACCTCCGGCGCCGCCGCGCCCAACGAGGTGGTGCCGGCCTTCAGCTCCCGGGCGATCTCCGCGAAGTCCTTCATGCCGCGGTCTCCTTTCCGACAGAGGCGACGTGAAATCGAGCGCGGCGAGCCTGCGCGCGCGCGCTCCTCGCCGCCATGCGGCAGGTCAAGTCGCCCGCGACGCCGGCCGCGGCGCGCGCCTCACCACGCGGCGTCGCCGGCCGCCTGCGCGTCGGCGGCCGCCCGCAGGGCGACCCGGTCGATCTCTTCAAAGGGCGCGCGGGTGTCGGGCTGGCGGAAGAGCGCCAGCTCGGAGATGACCAGCGGCTCCGCCAGGGCCGGGGCCGCCAGCGCCTGGAGGCGCTGTTTCCAGCGCCCGCGTTCGGCCTCCGGCAGTCGGCCCGTCAAGGTCATGTGCCAGCGGAACTGGTCGAACACATAAGGATAGCCCCAGCGGCGCAGCAGGTCCTCCTGGCGCGGCGTCAGCGGCTTGGCGCGCCGCTTGGCCAGCTCGCCGTCGCTGGGCGCGGCGCGAAAGTCGTCGAAGCGCTCGACGCAGGCAGCCGCCAGGGCGCTCAGCGCCGGCGGCGCGGCCACCGGGACCAGGGCCAGGAAACCGGAGAGGTCGCTGACCTTCAGGCGGCCGACCGCGACCGCCGGCTGGACCTCGGCGAAGCGGCGCAGCTCGGCCTGCAGCCCCTCAAGGTTGCGGTCGGGCGCGAAGCGAAACGGCGGCTTCAGCGTGGCGTGGAAGCCGTAGTGCCGGGGCGCGGCGGTGGCGGTCCGGTTGTCGGCGCGCGCGAACCAGGCCTGCCCGAAGGCGGCCAGCGTCGTGCCCGCCGGCGGGGCGAAGTAGATCGCGCAGCGCTCCGCCATCTCCGCCTAGAGCACCCGCTGACCGCCGCGCCACACGCCGCGCACCACTGGCAGGTCGTGGCTGCGGGTCACCCAGATCAGGTCGCCGCGCTGGCCGGCGGCGATCTCCCCCCGGTCGTCGAGGCCGGCCATGCGCGCGGGCGTGCGGCTGGCCACGGCGGCGGCGCGCGACAGGTCCCAGCCGAGCTCGTCGTGCAGGCGGAAGACGCCGAGCAGCAGGCTGGCCGGCACGTAGTCGCTGGCCAGGGCGTCCAGCAGGCCCTCGTGCGCCAGTTCGCCCGCCGCGATGTTGCCGGAATGGGACTTGCCGCGCACCAGGTTGGGCGCACCGGCGATGGTCCGCAGGTCGTGCCGGCGACAGGCCTGGGCGGCCTCCAGGGTGGTCGGGAACTCGCTGATCGTCAGGCCCAGCGCCGCCGCCTCGGCGACATGTTCGGCCGTGGCGTCGTCGTGGCTGGCCAGCGCCACGCCGGTCTCGCGCAGCAGCTCGGCCAGCGCCTTGCGGTTGGGCTCGGCCCAGCGTGCGTGCTCGGCCAGGCGGCCCTCGATGTAGGCCTCCATCTCGGCCTCGCCGAAGCCCATCTTGCCCATGTAGTAGGTGCGATAGGTCTGCAGGTCGGCGAACTGCCGCTGGCCCGGCGTGTGGTCCATCAGCGAGCACATGGCCAGCAGCGGCTCGTCGCGGAAGCTGGCGAAGTCCTCGACCACCCCCGGCTTGCAGATCTCCAGGCGGATATGGATGCGGTGGTCGCTGCGCAGCAGCCCGGCGGCCTCGGCCCGGTGGATCTCCTCGACGCTCTCGCGCAGGGTCGTGAAGCAGCGGTCGTCGTCGACCTCGTCGCCCAGGCGCAGGGAGTCGAAGACCGTGGTGATGCCGGCGGCGGTCAGCTCGGCGTCGTGGGCGATCAGCGCCGGCAGGGCTGGCCAGACCACCTTGGGCCGCGGTTTGATGTGGCCTTCCAGGTTGTCGGTGTGCAGCTCCACCAGGCCGGGCAGCAGCCAGTCGCCTTCCAGGTCCAGCGCCGGGGCGCGGGACAGGCCGCCGGTGTCGACCGCCGCGATCTGCCCGCCGCGCAGCGAGACGGAGCCCTCGATCACCCGGTCCGCCAGGACCACGCGGGCGTTCGTCAGGTTCACCTCGTGCTTCATGCGGCGGCCTTTCCTTCGACCAGGGAGATTTCGCGAGTGGCGACGGCGCTGCGGGTGTCGGCATCGTGGAAGATACCGACGATTGCGGCGCCGTTGCGGCGGGCATCGTCTATCAGTTCGATGACGGCTTTGCGATTGCGCGCATCCAGCGAGGCGGTCGGCTCGTCCAGCAGCAGCAGCGGGTAGGGGTGGGCGAAGGCCCGCGCGATGTTGACGCGCTGCTGCTCGCC